GATCTCGATCGACGGGAAGACCCTTGTAGTAACTGGGGGTCTAACATTGCAAATAGAGTGCGCAAAGCAAAGACCACAGTAGCGTTTTTCGCACGGAACTGATGGTAATCGACAGGGCCACAAGACTAATAAGATGCGATATCTAAGAACTGATATTTGCATCTTCACGGACAGCCAGGCGCCCATCAAATCCCCAACGAAGCAGTCGACAACCTCCATGGCTGCTGATTCATTTCGCCTCAATTGTGATATGGGCTCCGAGACATTGAGACATGGAGGGAAATTGTAAGGCCGATGAACTGGGGCGACTTGCCACCAAACTTCCTATTAAGAACAAAAGATGAAATAGCAATACCCATACAAACTTGCAAGATACTTATTTCCGAGAAGCCTACTAAAGTATAGGACGACATATGGCATGACGAAGTCACTTGCAAATTTGCCAACAAATTTTGGTCGTTGCTCACCGCTAAACGCACTGGCTTACTACTGCGCCAAAATAAGCGTAATATCAGTTTGTTATTATCTGTTATAACAGGACACTTCCTCATTGGCAAGCATGCCTATCGACTAGGAGAACGATTACATTACTTTTGCCTACTTTGACAAATTCTCTGGCTTCTGTGATGTCACTGGCTCGATACGCTCGTATGTCCGCTCCCCGTTCACTTCTGCTGGTGCTGCCTCCGACTTCCGTGTTGTAACTTGCGCCCGATTAACTGTCTGCTCCGGTTCGTGCTTCCTATCGATAGCCACCTGCAGGTCGGCACGCTGGATTCTCGATATACGAGCTGGACTGTTGTAAAGTCATCCGAAAAACTATTCTCTACCAACCGATTGAAGCTTGAAAACCAGGTAAACCCTTTTCGAAAGTGAAGTAAGAGTTCATTTAATTTTTCCCCCACAGTAACAAGAAAATCCCTCACTGTACCCATCGACATGNTTATTTCCGAGAAGCCTACTAAAGTATAGGACGACATATGGCATGACGAAAACACTTGCAAAGTTGCCAAAAAATTTTGGCCGGTGCTCACCGCTAAACGCACTGGCTTACTACTGCGCCAAAATAAGCATAATATCAGTTTGTTAGTATCTGTTATAACACGACGCTTTCTACCAACCGATTGAAGCTTGAAAACCAGGTAAACCCTTTTCGAAAGTGAAGTAAGAGTTCATTTAATTTTTTTCCCCACAGTAACAAGAAAATCCCTCACTGTACCCATCGACATACCAACTAATCTGCCACAACAACATTGAATGCTGCGCCTCGATCACCCCGCTTATCGGTCGTTAAGATCTCTTGACTTTCGTAGAAGACGCTGAACTGCGCACGCACAGTAACCCACAAATCGGGCAGCATTTGCAATAGTAACAGCAACACAACAGCTGCTGGCAACATGGTCATGTTGCTACAAATACAATATTATAGCGTTCGTCACCGTTGCTCGTTGTTACCGATGTCGGCGGCAGGCATATTTGCTGCAGTTAACGCGCCATTTGCGTCATGTGCGCCGGGCGTGTTGCCAATAAGCTGTTGCAAGTAGCTGACACAAGGCAAAAACAAAAGCAACTAAGATACAAAATTAACAAAAAAAAATTAAAATAAACACAGCCGCAGCAACACAACCGTACGATAAGTGCCAGTGCCAAGTGGCAGACCGCGTTGATTGCGCTTATCTTTGCAACGCGATCGTGATCTGAACGCATGCAAGGCAGATCGGCGCGTCGACACACGGCAGCCAGCAGNTCTCTTGACTTTCGTAGAAGACGCTGAACTGCGCACGCACAGTAACCCACAAATCAGGCAGCATTTGCAATAGTAACAGCAATGCAACAGCTGCTGGCAACATGGTCATGTTGCTACAAATACAATATTATAGCGTTCGTCACCGTTGCTCGTTGTTACTGATGTCGGCGGCAGGCATATTTGCTGCAGTTAACGCGCCATTTGCGTCATGTGCGCCGGGCGTATTGCCAATAAGCTGTTGCAAGTAGCTGACACAAGGCAAAAACAAAAGCAACTAAGATACAAAATTTAAAAAAAAAAAAAATATAAACACAGCGGCAGCAACACAACCGTACCATAAGTGCCAGTGCCAAGTGGCAGACCGCGTTGATTGCGCTTATCTTTGCAACGCGATCGTGGTCTGAACGCATGCAAGGCGGATCGGCGCGTCGACACACGGCACCCAGCAGCCAGCAGCCGACAAGGCAGAGACGAATGAAATGCGCGACAAAAGAGTATGAAATTGTGTTGCACTATTTTAAGTTCTTCATTTGATTGGTCGCATGTTTGGCATGCCACAGACAGCAACGCCGACATGTGGCTGGGGTAGCAGCAGCATCCGCTGGTCGGTATGTGCGTGGCATGCAGGTGAAAATTGCATCGTTGCTGCTGCTGCTGCAGCTGTCCGCTATACCGTGAGCACCGATTTCGGTGTTGCACGTTTGCGTTGCAACTTTCAAGTGCGTGCTTTTCGCGCTGATTTTCTATTGCGAATATCGATAGCCGTTCCACTGGGTAGATGCTAACAAAGACGGTGAAATAGTGGTCAGTGCAGATGGATTTGCCTAGGAAATGGGTTTCTCAACGAAATACCACATCGGCTTTGCGCGCAATGAATATGCCCGTCAAAACTAAGTTGTCTTCTATTTAACTTTAGATCCCTTGGACTAATAGATTCTAGGAGCTTAAAGCACAACGAAATTTTTAGCTATGTAACTTAGACGCTAGGAATGTTCTGTCAACCATCCGCGAACGACAAAAGGATGCTCCGAAGTTCCTTTCCTGCGGAACTTAGTCGTGGACAAACTCCTACAGATACTCACGGATAAGGGCGTTCACTGTCGAGGATACGCTGATGACATAGTGATTATCTCCAGAGGGAAGTGCCCTCTCCGACATCGTTCAAAGAGAATTTAACCTAGCGAAATAGTGGTATGCGGATGTAGGTTTAAATATTAATTTTTCTAAGAAAGGCGTCGTCCGCTCACCATAAAAAGAACTCTAAAGGGTGTAGGGAACTTTCAATAAGGAGTCGATATCGGCGTCGGCAAAGAAGTGGAATACAGTGCGAGAGCGCATCTTGATGCGCCCACCTTCAACGCTACAAGGGCGTTGATGGCGTGAAAACGTCTAGCGGTCAAATCCTAGCGGTGCGCTCCAATGATCCTAACATGAATGTAAACCATAATAGTACGAACAATGGTAAGCTATTAGGCAGTGGCTTGGGCTTCCAGGACCACTCTAGTTACAGTGAGGCCGACCCTCACCAATAATCAACGTCGTAGTGCTTTCACTACGAAGGCAATTCGCACATGGCCGACGACACTACTGGAGGTAATTCTGCATCTTACTGTTGAAAAGGCTGGGAATCGAACTCTCTTAAATTTCGCGAGACAGAAATTTCGGCAAAAGTAAGATCTTATCATCTAAAAACAGGGACAAGCTAGGTTCCCATGCTCGCATTAGTGCAGCTCGACAGAGATGATATGAATAGAGTAGTAGTTTTCGAAAGAAACTTTAAGGTTAACACATACAGCAAGGCGATCTGGATTACCTCTATTATGGAGAGACACGTCGAGGCGCCTTCGCAGTGAGAGAATCCAAATTTTATGTAATAAATCAAGGCTCTCATCCTTCGAGATCAAACTCTCAAGTGCCCAAGAGTGGTGATACGGGTAGCAGGGCACATGGTATTCGAAAAGAAACGATGAAGCCGAGCGGTTAGCCAAAATGGCTGCTGCCTCGCCATCGATAGGGCCTGAGCCCTTCCTATTATTAGGTCCCAACACGACAAACGTAGCGATCAGATCTAAGGGAACTACACTGGCATTGTACCACGGGTCTTCGTCAACCTAAATGCTTACTAGGAGGGTACAATCCAACAAGACACAGTCTACTCATGTGCGCGAGGCCCAAGAGGAACTAAGAATTATTACAGGCATTTTAATGGGCCATTGTAGGCTTAGAAGTCATTTGCCCAAGCTAAGAATCTGGTCAAGCGACATTCATATGCCTCTTCTATGACTCTGCCAAGGAGACATCATTACACCTTCTGCGGGAGTGCGAGGCCGTTTCCTGAAGAAGGGAGAGGAGCATAGGTCATCTATGACCCAGAGGGGAGCACATACACTCTCTACCATCGGGATCTGTTTTAAAATTTATAGAGTCTGTAGGTCTAGCTGAGGTGTTGTGATGAGCTGAGGGCTGTATTTTGAACGCTGGTGTTAGCAATCTTCGATCAACCCGAAGAAGCGCGACGGTTTGGGATGGCACCTCTTCGGCCCAGAAAAAATGCGTGAGCTGTTTTATGCGACAGTCCCACCAGGGGAAAATGCTAAACGTCGCTTGACCTGAAGGCTGTACCAGTGATGAAATTGGAATGGCCATTGAGAAAATAATAGGAACGGAAGTATAATACCTCACCAAGATCGTCAATTTTTCCGTGGCCACTAGCATCTTTCCTGATATGTAGGGGGCACAAAACCCCTACAGCACTTAATGCCATAAACACACAGTTGACTAGTGGACTTAACCGGAACTGGAATCATGTGAGATCGTCAAGGAGCATTAAGCAATGATATGTAAGCAGTTCCTAGTAGGTTGTCACAGACGAACAGAAACCTGCTTGCAGCAGAGCCCTCACCAAGGCACGTCAGGAGGCATCTATACTAAATGATGGACGAAGTTCAGAGGTTCATAAAATAACTTTTGGACCCGACAGCATACCGACAGGCCATAAACGGCATTCACAGGGAGTCGGCCTCGACTTACATTTACTCTCGACCTGTGAATGCCGTTTTGGGAACGCAACCACCTTACTTGGTTGCCCCGGCAGACTCGCACTACAAGCATAATTATGTCGATATGTTGATAGATACCGTAATAACGAGTTGATTTATAAGTATGTGTATATTATTAGTTTATTTTAAGAAATCTTTTTAATTCATCTTTTAGTACACGTACTCGATTTTTTATTTTGTTATTATAACATTAGTCTGGTATCCCTCTTAATGGTAAACATGCAGTCCGGCAACATTAAAATCCAGCTGACTCAGGGTTGCTATCCCGCGATCAGCTGTTCCATAAAAATAAACAATTGGAAATTGGAGACAAAACATTGGAGAGATGCACAAAGTCAAAAGGAACGCATGGAAGACTGGACAAAAATCGCTGAATATTTGCCAAAATATGAAGAAATTAAAAACATTTTACAAAGTGAACCAGAAGCGGATTACATAATCCGGGAGGCAGCAGCAGATGTTGGAAAAACAAATGAAGAACGCGAGCTTAACGATGAAATATTCTACCTTGTTTCCAGCTTAGCCGACAAATTTTGGGAACGCATACACACAGGTCACTTCAGTGCAGTGCCAATAGAAGTGCGAAAAATTTATGCCCTGGCTTGTTATTATAAAGTGAGTTGCGAAATCTAATTTAAAACTTTGTATATTATAAATATTTAAAAGATATACTATCTGTTTTGTGAAAGTTTATCGAAAACGCAGTTACTGCGTTGCTCCGAGATACTCGATGAAGCCATACTTATTGGATGCACACAATCATTATATAAAGGCAGTGACCAATTTCAAACCCAACTGACCAGCTATATTAGCAAAGTTTCAGGTAAGAAAACAAAGCCAAAAAAAAATTTAATTAAACAAAAATTAATGCATATATATATACATATCTCCTATTAGAGGACAATGCAGAGAGTGATCTGCCAATCATAGCTGAGCTTGAACGTCAACAATATAAATGTGATATACCCGTCTTGGATTGTCCCTCAGTTGAGAACTTTCGCAAAATATGTTTCAATTCCGAGCAACCAGCGCTGCTGCTCAACACAATTGCACATTGGCCTGCTATGCATAAATGGCGGGATCTTAATTATCTACTTAAACTAGCCGGTAATCGAACAGTGCCAATTGAAATCGGTGCCAACTACACGACAGATGAATGGTCACAGCAGCTAGTCAAAATACGCGATTTCCTGCGCAGACAATTCGTGCAAAGCAACACACAAATTGAATATTTGGCACAACATGAACTGTTCGATCAAATACCGACACTTAAAACCGACATACGCATACCCGACTACTGTATTTTACACTCCAGCGATAATAGCTCGGATACTGAAAAGGTTTCAATTAAAGCTTGGTTGGGACCTAAAAATACCATATCACCACTACATTATGATCCCGAACACAACTTGCTCTGTCAAGTGTTCGGCCGAAAGCAGGTCATATTAGCAGCACCGACTGATACTGCAAAGTTGTATCCTCATGATTCCGAAATGCTTTGTAATACCTCACAATTGGATGCAACTCGGCTGGACTTAGAGCGATTTCCGTTAGCAGCAGAGGTTGCTTTTTATAATGTAACATTACAGGCAGGCGATTGCCTTTACATGCCACCAAAGTGGTGGCATTATGTACGTGCCGAGAGTGAAAGTTTCTCTGTAAGCTTTTGGTGGTCATAATTTTGTATAAATATTTTAAATTAGAATGTGATTAAACAACAAATGCTGAATAAGTTCAATATTTTGAATATCAATGTTGAGAAGTCATATAATGACTTTGTCTGTGCAATGATAACGGTATTTGATCGTTATCACATAACCTAGTGCGCTTAAAATATTTTAATCGTGACTCAGCGCATTGGTAGCCCTTGGACAGTGCAAATATAGATGTTGAATTCTAAGATGAAAATAAAAGTTTTTAAAACGTAAAATTTTATTTATAAACAGGTTTTTACTTGAATACATTCTGATAGACAAGTATTCGTTCATATGCATGCAAACAATGGCTGATGTGTACTAAAATAGAAAACAAAGGAAATCAATGAGTCATCATCCAAATCATCTCAGCTGGTTTCAAAGGTACAAGTACAAGTCATAATAAATATATAGCAAAATAGGGGTTTATGATTGTTCCACGTTTGATTATACAATAATTTTGATAGCGTAGTAAAGTTGATCCCAATTATAAGCAATGAGTTCTCTGAGGCAGAAAATAACTTCAAAATTTATTTATAATTCACAATTTATTCATACAAAAAGAAATAAGTTATTACAAGAAAAATTTGTATTAACCAACATGTTTAAAAATGCTTAAGTAAGCTACAAAGTAATATAAAGAAATTCAGTATGCTCTTCGAGAAAATTATTTTTTTAAGAACATATAGAAGTATAATATGTTATGTATAATTTAAAAACTTTGAATCATAAACCTAATTCGCTCAACGCTCCATCGCAATTAAATCTTTCCATAACGATTCATATAATAAGTCTCCAATTTTATATCAGACGATAAGCTGTTTATTAGTTACCGCCATATTGAGTAGCAGGTTAATTTTAGAAAAGGGTTAAAGTGCATATTATTCATCTTTCTAAGAAAGGAATTAATATTATATTAAACAGGGTGTGTTATTAATCANCCGCCATATTGAGTAGCAGGTTAATTTTAGAAAAGGGTTAAAGTGCATATATTCATCTTTCTAAGAAAGGAATTAATATTATATTAAACAGGGTGTGTTATTAATCGTCTTTTTCGCCACCCTTTCCACTATGGTCGCTGATAGTGATCTTCTTTTGCAACTTGCTATACTCTTCAGTCAGTCTGTCGTATTCTTTGTTCAAACTTTCAGCTTGAGATTTCAATGCTTCCTTATCTTTCTTTTCGCGGTTCAGGTCAGATGTAAGCTCTTGCACTTTCTTACGCAGTTCATTGAGCTGAAAGTGATACATATTTTTAAAAGATTTCTTTTTATTCTAGAGCTACGCCATTAAAGAATTTCTTAAGGTTCTGGAATCTACTGATTAAATGTAGTTTATAGAATCAACACTGCTCTTTAACTCAGGCTGGCACTGAGTCCTTGTACACGTCTCCGCAAATTTAAAATCTGTGCAAGTTAGCCCGAAAGAGTAAACGGAGAAAGAATCATTCTAGATAAGTTTCGTGAAAATCAGAAATAAGTATGCGAGGCCATTTTTACAAGCGTTATTAAGCTATACTTTATTATATTGGAAAATACCTTTTGTGATTATTGGTTTATGCTCAAAGCATACTTTCCAATGCGCAGTTATCAATATATTCAAGCAAGCAAATTTCCAAAAGATTTTTGAACCATAACTGAGTAAATGTTAAAAACAAAAATCATTACTCAGCAAAAACTGACGAAAGAAGTGTGGAACCACACCTTTCGGTACAAGAACTCATTTTATACAGCCGCAAGCCAAAACGAATATATCTAATCGATAGTAACAACATGTACATGAGAATCTATTAACTTACCTCATTCAATGTCTTGTCCTCAGTGGCTTCCTTTCCTTTCTCAGTACTCTTTTCAGCCATCAAGGTGCGCGCTGCTGCTGTGGCGCTTTGTGCTTGTTTCATTGAAGCTTCACTCTGTGCCAAAAGATTTGCCTGTGCCGAAATCAATGTAACCAAACGTCTTATGACCAATACAAGAAATATGGCGAATCCAGATATGTAGAAATTGCGTTGGGCCCGGAACAGTCGCATGCTGTGTTGCATTTCAACGTTCAAGTGTTCATGACCGCCAGCTTCATGTGTGGAGTATTTCCTCATTTCACGTATGGCATCCAATAGGAATAATATCAGCACACCCATTATAAGAAAGAAATATAGGTGTGCCTGTTGGGCCAACATCGCCAAGAATTTGGATTTGAAAAGACGATTCCATTTGTACGGGCTTGCTATAGGTAGAACCAACAAGAGTACTACGGCAATTTCCGCGTACAAAAAGGAGGCAATCAAAGTCCAGACGAGACTCATTTTGATGCAATATACTTTTTTTGGGTTACTGGAGCACTTTCTTTTCAATTGATGAGCTGTAAAACGTTGAAGAGAAGAAAAAACAATAGTGTTGTATACTTATCCCTTCGCTATAATTTCTGCTTTGTCTAGTTTTGTACTATTTTTAGCTTATTACCCTAGTAATTTCAAATTCTTACTTTTTATAGATTAAAATATTTGTGAAAATTTAGTACTGCGCCGCTGCTTTTACCTCTGCTTTGGGTGAAGTTCAGCCGATGATGTGTTTTTTCAGGTAATTTCGCGAAGAAGATAGCTTTCTCATTTTCTCATAACTCCATAACCGCAAATCTATGAGGGTGAACAGGAGAACTATCTATTTGCCGGCAAAATTTTCACTTGTTCGCTAGAGCCAGGGTTGCACTATCAACGAAATATGCAAGATCACGTAGAACGCGACCGTGTATTTGTAATGGCGAAATTAGGCAACGAAGTACGTAGCAACATATAAAATTTACTGTTGACTGGGAGAGAGAAGCTACGGCAACGTCACCGTCATGCGGTAGTGAGTTTTCGTTAACACGCAAATCCCATAAGGTAGATCGTGTCAGCGTCCACGTACGTTTACGCCACGTCGTTGACTAATTTCGCCTTAACTGCTTTTAGAAAGTTTTTGGAAGCGGTTTTGTCAACCGAGCTTTTGTTTACATCACAAGCACCACTATTTTACACCTTTGCTTAATTAAAAAAAAGAGTTAATTCAAGATGAAAACACGTTATAATACATTCTAATGACAAGTTTTATACAAGGTGGAAGCAAGAATACAACAACAACCACATGTTTTTTGTATCGCGGGTGTTATTTCAAATCTCTATTCGCCCCAAAGTTTACATGTATTTTGTTTTTGCTTTGATGGGTGTGCTGTCAAATCAGTAAATGTAAAAACAAAATACATGTAAGGCGAAGAAATCAGCTGATCTAACAACACCACATTGCAAGGCGAATTTATACGAGGTGGTGTTGATGGCGAACTTAGATTTTCGCCGCGGTACTTATTAAGGTCAAAATGATGTTTGTTGTAAACAAGGCGAATTCGTATTACAACAAACACACTATTTTGACATTAAGAAGTACCGCGGCGAAAGTCTCAATTCGCCATCAACACCACCTTGTATAAATTCGCCTTGGCTTTTTATACTTTTCGTTATAAGGCTTTCGCACAAGGCGATTTTTCAGGCAACTTTTATTTGGAAGCAAAAATCGCCTCGACCGGACGGCCTTGCAACTAATCGCTTTCAACAAAGTTGGTCGCCAGCCAACTCTGAGCTCGTTCAACTTTTTTTCCTTGCAACCCTCTGTTTGTTTACATTCTGTATACATACCACCATTTTGAAATTGTATTCTGGCGAGTGGTTTGTTAAAACTTGGTAAAAAAGCACTTTTACCAACGCTTGCGATTTAAATTCATTTTAAATAATGTAAATAACAATTCGTGTTGAATCGAAAATCGCCTCGTCTGAATAGGGATGGTAACTTTTTCACTTTCAACTTCGCATTCAACTTTTGTTGCCTGTAAAATCGCCACATGCGAATGCCCTATTAGTTTTCCAGCGAAACAAACAATGTGGCATCATTCACGATAAAATTCTTCAAAACAAAACGTGCGCCGATAGCAACGTTCATTGATCAAATAATTTAAAAATTCTAAAAAAAAATAGCAATCTTCATTATAATCCAATCCTGTCCTACATTTTACGGAGCTCATTGCACAGGCCTATACCGCCTCATACCTATAAAAATCAGCATGTCGTACGAAAATTGGCTCAACTATTTACGGAGCGCTGAAAAGAATTCTATGATCAGTGGTCGATGTCGCAAAGTTTTCTACAAATTCCCTGATGGCCAGCAAATGGCTGAAGAATACAGCATGGATACAGGTATCGTACAGCGAAGAGCATGGCGTAAGTGTAAACAACTTATGGGGGAACCAGAATGGGAAATTGAATTGGGCGAAACACCGCGACAAATTAACCAATGTGCAGGTGGCGGCGATGCAGACAACTCTGCTATCGCTAATGATTTCACCTTAACGGAAAGTAATTCTGCCCCAATGTTAACTAAACGCATCACAAAGAAAAATATAGAGTGGCGTATACGTAATTTGCCATATCCCATTGAGGTTTATCAAGTGAGTGCAGATGCAGAAAAACGGGCAATCATTGTGCGGACCATAAACAAAAAGTATTATAAAGTAATCACTGTCCCCGAACTGGATCGATGCAACTTGCTACCTTCTCAAGAAAACATTTCTACGCACCATCAGTACAACACTTTAATTATAACATATAGTAAGCCAGCATTATTGAATGAAATGGAGGCAGAGGTATTAATATTATTGAAAGAAGTCGAAACGGAAACGGATATGGAGGATTTGCTGCAGGGGCTATTAGCAAAATAAAAACACTTTGTATTGTAATATGTATACTACACTGAAACTTATACATAAATTTATTTAATACACGTACTGCAGTTAACAAATTTTCTGCGCGCATGGAGATCTAATTATACTCAAAAATACTAGCAAAATTATTCTTTACGGAAATTTGCAGTTAATTCAGTCAATGCTGGCGTGGAAGCAGTAAAGGAATGATACTCGAAAGAAGGTAGTTCGAGTGGTGTCAACGATGGTATCTCGTCGTTCTCGTTTAAATAAAAAGCTGGCTTATCTCCTGCGCTCTTAGCACGTTCTTTTTGTGGCTGTTCAATTGGTGCTGCTATGTCTCTGGCGGCCGTTGCACCTTCCAAACTAGTATTCGAATTTTGTCTAAACTCTTTGCTTTCCCTACTATTTGTGCGCTTAATTGGCGAAAGATTAAGTTTTACATCGAATTCTCGTACAGTTTTATCAATTGATTTGGCTACCGACTGCGCATTGAGATTGCTGTCAGCTCTCAACAAGACTACTGGCGTATTTGTAGCTGACAATGGTACGATTTCTTTATGCTTGAGGCGTTCGTGCTGTTGCTTGTGCATTTGTATTTGACACAGCTTCCTTTGATATTCCCACTTTTGTGTATTTAACAATTCAACCGATTTGGGCATCAATGCTGCTTTAAACGCATCTTGTAAATAAATTAACGAGGTTTCTACCGCCTTATATGCATCATCATATCGATGGCGTTGGAGAAAGCGATTAGCACGCCTTTCGTGAAAGTGTGCCTGTAAACATGTTATTTTAATATCAATGTAAGCTTTGGGAAGTGATTTTATATCCTTACTAAATTCAGAGGAGCACAGTCCATTATTTGTTCTTTTAAAAAGCAGGAAATCAAAATTTCTCTGATTTCAAGTAAACAAATGCGATAACAGCAATTATTTACGCAGTTGGTAAAAACATCTGATCGCTGCCAGGGTTGCATTAAACTAATGCAGGTGTAAAAAAGTGCCGGTGAACTCCTAACATTCGGAGTACTTCTAGTACTGCCAAGTTTCTTGCTTTTAAATACAGTAGTCTAGGCTACCCAACCCGACCTCAATTAAATACAAGACCGATGGAATACAATATTGCGCTGATTGATGTAAAATTTGGGAGCGTAACGCGAATATGACGTCATCGCAGATTTACGGGTGGAGGGAACTAAGGTCGGTGTTATGCAGACAAACTTTTGTTTGCCAAATTAAATGGCGGCTGCTTAGTTTGCTCGGAGGTGGTTATGTCGAGTTTGGCACAGGGTTGCACGTTCATTATGGTTTTCATGGCTATTGCCAACACGAAATGAGAATTTCAGATGTACATAACGCGCAAAATTTAAAATTTTTGTATATGACAACACCGAATTTGCTGCAGTTTGACCAAACAAAATTAGTTTGCTGTGAGAGTCGCCAAACTCGCTCTCTCCGAGTTTGCTGCAACAACAATTGCACGCAGTTTGCCAAACAAAATTTCTGCATAACACCGACCTTAGAGAGATCTATCAGGATGTATATTATTATTGCAATCGATAGTTCGTCGATTGTTCTTCATTGTTCGTCCATTTTAAATGTTTGTTCCAAGGCAAATTTATACGAGGTGTTGTTAATGGCGAATTTAGATTTTCGCCGCGGTACTTAATGTCAAAATGATGTGTTTGTTGTAATATGAATTCGCCTTGTTTACAACAAAAACATTTTGACCAAGGCGAATTTATACTATACACAAAAAGTGAGAGTAATCTAAAAAGTAAAAAAGTGAATTAAAAGTAGGAGACAAATTGATATAGTTAGTGTTTATTGTGCTTGTGCTTATGTGAATGTGTTTTGTACATACATTTATATTCTTATTTGTCGTTAGTTTTGTTGTTGCCATTCTTTGGACTAAAAATTTTGGTTTTTTGCGTTCCTTTACTTTTTCCTGTTATTCTCTTTTAGTGAGCGCATTTCGCTTACGCTCTTGCATTTTGACACTTTTCAGATTTTAGTCCGAAAAGATAAGGAATTAACCTATTATCCGAAAATGTCTTGTCGCTCTCTTTGTCGCGTCACTATTATCTTTGCCTTAGGCGGGTTTTTCGCTCCCCATTTACGATGCGTAAAAGCTCAAACAGACGGCAGCGTTGATCCGGGTTAATCCGGATCAACTGCAGTTAATTCCCCGAGTTGATCCGGATCAACGCTGCCGTCTGTTTATGCTTTAACCTAGAGCAGCTCAATAAACACAACTTTTGTTTGGCACTCAACTTTAAATGTATCTAAATTAAACAGACGCATCAGTATGTGGCGTACAGGATAATAAATAATTTACTTGGCGGTCGGCGATTGAGTTGAAGTCATAGATATGTGTGTATTGAATTCATAATACGGGGGTGTGCACTCCTCAGCAATTAAATCTTCCGAAACTGTCGTTGATTCGTCAAATGGCATCGACTCAGTATTGACATTGATATAATCAATTAAATAAGGTCCAGAATTTGTATTTAATTTTTGCACCATCTCTATATATTCTCTGCCTGCTAGCTCTTCGGTATTTTGAGTATTTGGTAAGGAATTTGGTGGATTCAACCTAAAGTCTGCTGAGTTGAAGTGATTACTTTGACTTAAGGGCGGTATTGGTAAATCCGAAGGTGTTGATGTAATCTCCGATTCTTCGATTTGTATCGGTTCTTCTTCTACTGTTAGCATTTCCATTTCTTCGCTTTGAATGGTATTATCGTCTTCGACATCTTCTAAATTACTTAAATTGCCCNCAAGGGCGGTATTGGTAAATCCGAAGGTGTTGATGTAATCTCCGATTCTTCGATTTGTATCGGTTCTTCTTCTACTGTTAGCATTTCCATTTCTTCGCTTTGAATGGTACTATCGTCTTCGACATCTTCTAAATAACTTAAATTGCCCTGTTGTTGTTGTTGTCCATGATTTTGCTCCTGTTGATTTCGATCGTATTCCCAAACCTGTAGACGCATTAAATTTTCTTTTTTTCTTTCACACCATTCCCTTTCACGTTGTTTGCGTATTTCATCATCATTATAGAGGCATTCATTTTTGTAGCGATTTACTGCTTTTGCTAAAAGCTTTTGNTGTATTTAATTTTTGCACCATCTCTATATATTCTCTGCCTGCAAGCTCTTCGGTATTTTGAGTATTTGGTAAGGAATTTGGTGGATTCAACCTAAAGTCTGCTGAGTTGAAGTGATTACTTTGACTCAAGGGCGGTATTGGTAAATCCGAAGGTGTTGATGTAATCTCCGATTCTTCGATTTGTATCGGTTCTTCTTCTACTGTTAGCATTTCCATTTCTTCGCTTTGAATGGTACTATCGTCTTCGACATCTTCTAAATAACTTAAATTGCCCTGTTGTTGTTGTTGTCCATGATTTTGCTCCTGTTGATTTCGATCGTATTCCCAAACCTGTAGACGCATTAAATTTTCTTTTTTTCTTTCACACCATTCCCTTTCACGTTGCTTGCGTATTTCATCATCACTATAGAGGCATTCATTTTTATAGCGATTTACTGCTTTTGCTAAAAGCTTTTCCGTTTTCTCTGGTGTCCAACGTTGTATACGCCCTTGGCGTGTAAACTGGTCAATAAAGTCATGTACTGGATTCCAACGATGCATTAAAACACGACAAGGCAAACGTGTACATAACTCCTTTAGACTTGCTTCATCAATTTGACGCTCGACATCTTCACGTGTGGGAATCTGTAGAAAGGTGATGGAAGTTCAAGTGAATCAAATAATTAAAATCAATGAAGTTGATGTACTCACGAAATCCTCCACAAATTGTTTATATAAACCGGGATTTTCATTTCTTAGTTCTTCAGTTATACCGTACTCGCTCAATACTCTGTCATATGTGAGGTCTTCCAAACGGAATAGCATATTATTTGGATCCATTGGAAATTAAAAAAAAAACTATAACAAAGCACACGTTTACAAAATAACAAACGTAAATAAGGTTGCTTTAAAAATGCATTTATATGCATAAAAAATGGATTAAAATTGCACGTTGCTGTTCCACAATTTTGCGGGGTTGTGATAGGAATTTCGGACTGGAAAATAATTGCCAAAATGACGTTTTAAATCAAAACACTGCTCAAAAACTGAGTACCAAATAAATATTGGAGAATTATACACAAATCTCGGTTTATTTGGAAACAAAAACTTCGCGCGCTTTTAACAAGCCGCAAACAAATTTTCGATTTTTGACAAATGTTGGTTCCTTACGTCAATTGCAGAGCAACAGCTGATTTGAAGTGAAATGTCAATACAGACCACGGTGGGTGTTTTCGCAAGCACACCCCTGCAAAATTAAAACAAAAATGTGGACGTCGAAAATTTGTTTGCAGCGAAAATAATTTTGCATAAAATTGTGGATTAACCCAAAAAAGCAGTGTTTTGTCATTTATTTCATATCCATTATTCTACAGAAATTAGTATTTTTACGATCGATTACTTCATTTTGAATAAAGTTTCAATTATAAAATCGGCCCTTTTATGGTTGTTGTTGTTATAGCATACAAATTCCCCAAAGAGCTTTTGGGAGTGTTGCTGGAGTGACAGACAGCCTTTGGCCAGATATAAATCTGGCTCGTAAGTCCAACTCCCGCTACACAACCACTGTATATTTGCGAAAAGATTTCACAGAAGGGATTATTTTATTGCAACAGTGCCAATCTATAAAAAATCATTTTTCATAATTTGATAGTTGGGGTGTTCTGCATACCAGAGATATTTCCTCTAATTAGGCTGTGACGTTTTTAAATGCAAGACTTGCGAATTCAAATTACAAAAAGCAGTGTTGCGGCAGTACTGCGTATAAATTCAGAAATGCATCAAGCCAAAGCATCAGCTTAATGGAAGGGCCATATTTGCGCAACTAAGTCCCAATCCAGAATTTAACCGTGTTTGCGCATGTTAGATGTTTCCATCAATTATAGTTTAGAAATAAGAGACTGGTGCTTTGGCTTGATGCATTTCTGAACACATACGCAGTACTGCCGCAACACTGCTTTTTGTAATGTGAATTCGCAAGTCCTGCATTTAAAAACGTCACAGCCTAATTAGAGGAAATATCTCTGGTATGCTCCGGACTCTGCGATTATTGTTATTGTAGCAAACAAACATTTTTCCAATTCATGAACAGATATACATACATAAATATTGGTCGTTCCGGTTATCTAAAACAGATTCGTCGCACGGAAGGCAAACCCTTGGGTTGTATTATGTATGGGTGGCGGTATTTAAGCGTTTTTCGGAAACGTCAGACCAAATTATTTTACGCAAATTCATTGCCAATTTTGGTTAAATTCTAACTTGAAAAAGGACACGCATTTTTTACAGTTTTATCTTTTTATTTATTTTACTTTAATAATTAATTTTAGGTTTGTTCAGTCACTTCAATACTACAAATGCTGACTAATCGAAGTAAATCTAAATGCGTAACTACAATAGTTATAGAAAGTAGCTTAATTAATATCTAATAACCATACGGTTTGAAATATTTATCTTGAAATGGGCAGTCATGAGTGGTTGTTTTTTTCAATAAAAATTTACAAATTGCTGTTGAGATCTGCAAAAAAAATTGAGAAAAAACTCATTAATAAAAAAATACGTTTGTTTAAAATAGTTTGCATGTAATATCAATTATCAGAGACAATTTTTAATCAAATAATTTCATAAGTCTAACATATTTGAATCTTCACGAAATTGAAAGTGAAAGTTAAAAATAAAATATAAATATTACCTTTTAACGAACTCAACTGCTTCCTTAAATTTATAAATTAAATTAGAGCCAATTAAACTGCAAATATAAAAAAAAAACGTATTGAGAACAGTTTTTTTTAAGTAGATATTAGATAAATGTGTACGATGCGCATCAGTTAAAAAATTTACACTAATCAAATGATTTCATAGGTGTCCCAAGGTAAATCGTTGCTCATCACTAGTATTCAACAAATATAAATGCCATTTAATTTTTATACTAACCTAATAAACGCCAATTAAAGTATGCATGAGGGATGAACTTCCATAGGGTATACACTTAACTGTAAAAAGGGAAAAAAAAGATTTTTAGTAAATGCTGAGTTTACTTAAAGCAAAGTATAGTATACATAGAAGTTTCGAAAATTTCAGTAAAAAAAATTTACACTAATCACAGGCTTTTCATAGGTGTCCCAAGGTAAATCTCTAATCATCACGCTAATATTAAAAATTTGCATTTCAAAACTTCTCTATATACGTAATACATTTTGAAGTTAAAATTTAATTTACCGCTAACTAAATTATTAATGATAAGCTTCTGGATTTACAAGTCAGCAGCGCTCACCATCAAACACCTGCAAACAGAAAATAGTTTTATTAGTTCATGGAAAAGAAAACAAATATTTAGAACCGAATAAAATAAATCGGAAAAAATCAGTTGGTAAGTTCGGATTGATGTAATCATTCGATTTCAGGTTCTAACATATGTGTCTTTAGAACGAGGTCATCACGTCAATTGGGGAAATAAATCATCGAATTGTTAATATTCAAAATAAACTCACCTTAGAAAGCGTAGCGCGTGCGTATATCTTCCAGCTTTTTGCATATCTGATTGGGCGTGCGGAACATATCGCTTGCGATGGTTTTCTGCTTAGCCGGATCAATGGACAAGTACTGCTCGCACAAATCGCCATCCAGCACATTTTTTACAGTATAGTATGAACTTCGGTAGCTTAAATGATCGCGCCCACATAATGGCGGATTTTCATTGCGCATATGCATCTCCAAATGTTGAAAGAAGTCGAAGTCTTCGCGACTAGTAAAAGGCACAAAAGCACCGACAGTTCCGCTGAGAGTCGCATAAATTAATGCTTCGGAGCCACCAGGTATTAAAGTTGCCTTCTGCAGTGACATAATGACTTCACCCACATGGAATGAGGAAATGTTCTCGGACTTTTGTGAGGCACCCGAGAGTAATCCACGGTCCCACAGCGACTTAGTGCCCGTGGGATCTTCGTCTACGTCATCAGTCACAGAGTGTGGTAGCCGCTGTATACTCATGTTGCCGAATTTATCAGCGATTGCAATTGTATCGTAGTCCAGCAATGTGGTGGCGGTCACCCAGCGTGGATGCGTATCGTCAGCGAATATTATAAGCTGATTTTCAGCGCGTTTATAACGTACAAAGAATACAGATTCCTGCACATCCGACACATAAACACGATGCCCCATAGCTTGTATATTAACAATCTGGTATGGAATGTGTTTATTCTCACATTTTCGCAGCATCTTCTTCTTTCCCAAATCGTAGATACGCAAAATACGACCACAGCCAGCCAATAATCGACCTTGAAAACCTGCCAAAGCTCCAGGTATTTCTTCGATTTCAGTGCGATGCATAAACTCTAAATTAGAGCAGGTAGGATCAATCTTGTAAACGTCAATGCAACCACCGTTTGTTATGCGTGGATTCAACTGCAATTCTTTCGCCACACCTACTACCAAATAATAGCGACCATCGGCAGCGATATTAAACTTGAGAACGCACATGGACATGATTGATTCATTTTGGACAAGTGGGATTTTGAATAACGTTTGACCATGAATAGGATCCAAACCACGTATTTGCGAGGCCCACAAACCCAGACCCGCCTTGGGTGACGAAAAAGTTTCCTCAGGCAAAACTTCGCTAATAAATGCATTTGCCATCTCGTTGGCCAACTCGCGTTCCTCATCACCGGCGGCCATGCGCATTTCTTCCGCCATTTGCTGTTTACGTGCATTCTTTGTCTCATCTGTGTAAGCATTGTGATCAGTCTCAGCAATAATCATGCGTCCGGTATCTGGGTGAATAGCAAAAGCGCGTGGCGTGTATTCGAGAGGGAAAGAAACCTGGTTAAATACTGCACCCAATTTTTCCAAGGCCAAAATACGCAAAGTATTCGTTGAGATGGCGACGATACCTTCACTACACTGTTCACTAGAGAATCCCGAAGCGTATTCCAGCGTTTCATATGATAAGGGTGTCAGATGGAAACGATTCTGATGATAGTATGAAAGCCAAGTGCGACTAGACATTGCAAGTACGGCTTCAGAGCCTTGCATACGTATGCGAAAGAGCTTCACGGGACGTGAGCCAAGATAACGTGTACGGGAATCGACCAAGTCGCCAGATACTGGATCTAAGACAGTACGCAACAGCACACCATTGCTAAGACCAATATTAAGATAAATTGTACCCTTTGTTGAGGTATTGGTATTGCGTTCGCCTGGCTCCTCATTTGCGGCACTCGTTGTGCTCTCCGTGTGTCCCATTTCGACAATGCAAAGCGATTCGGCAGGTGATGGCAAAGCTTGCATTGAACAGGGTGAAAGACAATCATTTGGATCCAGCGAGATAATGCGTACAGTGTTGTCAGCCAAACCAACAGCCAAAAACCATGACCGCTGCTCGCCCTCTGGCACTTGTCCGAGTGCCATGCACATGATTTCGTTGGGCATTTCTGATCGCTCAGTATATTCGTTGAGTTCACCAGTCTGAAAGTAGGAAAGATCAAGGTTAGTACTGTTTTTACGGAACACTTGAGGGAAACATTTTTTTTTTTTTTATTTTATAGTCAGCACTGCAGGACACAAAGTGTCTCAACATGATTGTTCTTTATCGTGTTTTTGTCATCATCCAATTTGTATTTTTTTTTTATATGCATATGTGTATATATTTTTTTTAGTCAAAATTTTTAACTCATGCGTTATTCACTTACCGCATCCATTTCGAAGTAAACGAGTTCTCTTCCCGAAAGCGTGATCACTACTTGGCGCTGATTTACCGCACATTTTGTAATTGATTTCTTGCCAGGGGCTTTCCATTCATTCACACGCTTATCGGAGCGTATATGACGAATACCATCGGGATATACTTGAACCAACGCATCATCACCCAAAGAGGAACAGCTCAAAGTTGGAGTGGTACCAAGGAAACCGCTGTCTGTTACTTCCTCCACGGTTTCCCCAATGCTCAAAACCAATGTAGCATTCACAAATGAGACTATGATATAAGCGTCAAATTCGTCTGCAAGAGATAATTCGAAAAATTCGAAACGCATACTGAGAATTTGTGTGCCATACACAGGAATATTTAACTTTAAAATAGATAAGAATATACTATTTGTCGACAATGAATAATCAGATAATCTTAAAAGTTTAATCAAAGTAATTCAGTTGAAACACGGAAAAGTAAC